CGTGACAAAAATTTGAGTACTCCTTTTTATCTTCTTTCCTTTTATGTTAACGGTGCGGTCTTAGAAGAGGTTCTTTCATTGGTTGTAGTAATATTTAATTAGCTGGACAGCTTCGTTTGTTTTCGTTAAACTTTAACAGTTTACGATGTCAGTTTTTTTTACTGTAACCATCAACTTATAATTTTTAATATTTCGAAAACAAACAAACAAAGATACATTAGAAAACGTCATATGAAATGTCTATCAGACTTTATCGATATGTGTTATGTAGTTTACGAGAGGTGTGGATTATATCGATAAGGATGATGTGGCGACTCTATAGTAATTTAAGAATTAAAAAGATTTAAAGTTCGTTGGAAGTACTCAACTGTAACTTTGATTGATGTAAGTAAAATTTGAACATACTAACTATATCTTGAGTCCCACGACCCACTTGTGGCCCACTGTACGCATGTAGGTCTACAATCTCGTCGAATAAAAAAGTAGTAAAACAAATCCCCGGGATAAAGCTTGGGCGGGGTTCAACAATCGCATGAATTCGCTTGATAGCGGTGCAGTGGATTAATGAGAAAAGTTCCCATCTCTGCGCACCACTGCGATCCTGGTAGCGTGCTCATTGGGATTGCTGTGATTTTTATTTGAAATTGTTTGGCATTCGAAGCAATCTAGACCTTATTTAACTGGGATAAGAAGTCGTGCTATTAATTAGTTTCTGTACAAGAAGGTTAGTCAGTTTTATAAGTTACATTTATCCACGGAACTAAGATATAGCCAGAAATGATCTTTTTAACAAAAACATATGTTTTAATCTAATCTGTAGTCAATAGTTACTGTCACACAAAATATGCGGCTAGTTTTTTTTTAAATAGAATTTCTCATGGCCCGAGGTGAACTCATTTTTTGTTCCACGTTGTGCAATTTTACTTTACTTCGTTAAGTCTCCTCTCCTGTACGGAGAAATAAACAACAAATAAAACATAAATAAAAATGCGCAAAAAAGAAAACAATTGTTTCCATTTTTAGAATTTTTACAAAACAAAACCTGTCCCGTGGAGTGCAAATGGCGTAACCAGACGAACAGAAACAAAGTGTCGGTTCAAGCGAACCAAGGCAAAAGCACCTTCGCGGTCTAACAAGACCCTGTAATTACATTGCATTCTTTCACCGTTAGCGGCGCAATCTCGTCAGATTACAAACGAGGAATTCCAGAACATTTCAACTGAATTCCCGCGAATCACTCTCGTACGACAGGAATTTCGAAAGATTTTTTTTTATATCTATTGCTTCTGAGCTGACCGATCTGATTGCACGTGAAATTAAGTATTAAAAATTTATAGTCGGAAGTAATTTTTCGTTTACCATACCAATCAATCATTTCACTTTTTTACATTTCAATATTTCATTTGCCCCTCTTTTGCTCCGCGCGCGTTTAAATCGCCCGCCACAAATGTTTTATGGGGTAACATGGCCAAGGATCAGTTCAGAGCATCAATTTCACATAGCTGCGGTCCTTGCCCTTGCTTTAGCTGACGTTCTCATTGGTCGTATAAGGTTGGAACAAAAAATTGACCCCGCCCATAACAGTCTGCATCCGTAGGGCGAGTTGCACCTGTTTCTTTTCGACCTCCTCGCGACTCCTGGTAGCCCGGTAGCGCATAAGAATATTTACACGTGACTTGCGGAGTTTATCGGGACACGTGGTTCGCCGCCTCGAGTATGTGTTTTTTTAGTTCTTTTTTTTTTTAAGGAAATGTTTTGAAAGAAAAGTGAACTTGCGGAGGAAGTTCCCGAGCAAAAAGTATTTTTACTTTATCTTGTTTTTTTACGCGTAAGGAAGGAAAAATATGAGAACACAAGATTCACGAGGACTGACAATTAATTTATTTTGTACGTGTCGATGGGACATGGAATACGTTACTTGCACTTGCTTTTCCGTATGCATATAGCCTGGACATCTTCTGGGATAGGATGAATAAGGCGTCTAATCCCAGGAGACGCCTAGTTCTTCATCGTCATCAAGGTTAATAAACGTCTTACATCTTTTTTATGTGCTTGGGTTTCAAACTCGGGAATTCGCTATATTATGTGTAGCTCTGCTAACCGCTAACTAATGCCTTAACGATCAATATCGTTACGGTAAGTTCCGATGAGTCGAACACGTTAACTAATGCTTAGTTGGTACAGCGTCTGCCACGGTAAGCTAGAAGACATCGGTTCGAATCCGGCCGTATCGAAGGAATTTTTTCTGATTGTTCGATATTTGTATTAATAAATATAACAAACTAGTGGAGTAATTTCACAAAAAATAATTGAATATCAATTCAATAAAAATTTAAAATACGTTAACTAATTTTAACTGTTTCAAAAACAGAATTTTGTGATCTATTTTTTGCTATTTAAACAAGCGGTTTTTGACCATTTGTCACTTAGCCGTAATTTGGAAATATCTTTTCAACTCACGCCCGGAAATCAAAACTCGTAAAAAAACAATTACGAAGTTTTATTAGGTCAACAAAAGGATGCTTATATATCTGTTTTTTTTTTGCCTAGCAACTAGAAAACAGCTGTTTAGTTCACCAGTGCCACACTCAACGCTTCGGTCATAATCATTCCTCGTACTTGATGTTACCCTGGTACCCTTGGGAATGAAGCCGCCCTCGTGTGACTTTAACGAACTTTTCAGGCTGTTGCATTATAATAAAAAGCATCTTATTATTTATGCTAGCCTGGTACGCATGAGAATATAGTTAACCCTTTTATTCTTTAAAATAACGGTTAAGTTAACGGTTAAGTTTTTTCAATATAGTTTCTAACCGTGTTTTTCTAATTTAACGTTTGAACTAAAACTAGATTCAATCGGTTCGCTTCGCGTTATTGCGGAACTAAGAAATACGAGTGTCTCTCTGGCATATTTTATTTATTTATTTCTCCAAATACCTCAGTGCCACAGTTTACATTGTGGGCGCTGGTTGCGAAGTCCTGGATTCGATTCCAGGTAGGACCAATTTGGGAAATGAAGTTTTCTAAATTTTTTCTAGTCTGGGTGTTTTGCGAAGTATCCCAGAATTCCGTTCCTTTGATACTCATAGTACAAGAAATTGTCTAGGCAGTTGATATGGTTGCATGATGTCATTATTTATAACAAACACTTTATTACTTCACAATCTTCATATCCCTAAACCTACATCGCGTCGGTAATATGGTAATTTGTGTGATATTTATATCCTTTGTATTGTTTATAGTTTCTAAATACTAAACCTAGTTATTTATTGTTTTGCATAAATAAATCATATTTTGGCATGCAAACACAATGCCGGGAGAAAGAAGTCATTTCTCAGCACCATTCATTCATTCACTAATCAGGTAGGCACTAAAATACAGACCTGTTTGTCGCAAACTTATATCTTAAAAAATGTAAGTCACATTGCTTCTTTAGTGAGGGACTGATAATCCGAGATGAAACTTAGGAAGCAGCGTTTATGAGACGTGCAAAAAACGTATTCCAACACGAGCACAACATTAGCATAAATTAGTGTAAATTAAGGTGGGTGCACATTATTGCGTAAAATGAGGGCTGTGCAGTGCAACGCGCGAGGAATTTCAATTAAAGTGTCTTTGTGTTTTTTGTCTTGTATTCGACGCTTTATTTTCGTTGCCACGTTATTTTGTATGTAGTTTTTAGCAAGATTTTGTCAGTGCTTTAGTAACATTAGTGTTTTAAGGATTGGACCTTATCAACTGGAAATAACCATGCTATATTTTACTTTTCATTTCAAAGATTTGTTTATTGCAGTCGTTATTTAAAAAAAAACGTATCTAAAATATTTTTTTGACGGAAATGTACAGAAATTGGGCTATTTTCAATAAATCATCATCTAAATGGCGCCGCAATCGCATCTGTGCCGAGTAATTATCGAAATTCAGCCAATATCAATAATTTATTGACGCCACAACATTTGCATCACCGTTCCACAGCACTCGCACCGCCCGCAATCCTTATATACTTTGAATATTTAATTACACGTCAACATTAAAACGGCGTTGAATACAGTTCTAATTGACGAAGCATTTTTAAAAAGGAGGCATGGCAATCCATGTCGCTGCTGTCCATCCCTTAGGCCCTTTCGATGACATTCACAAGTGATTGACAATTTTATAATTTCGTTTTTACGAAATCAAGAAAAAATTGACAACTTTGCTAAAATGCCATGATTACGATGCCACAGAGACGATGTTTTATTGTAATCTCAAAAATTTTATTTGAGTGAATAATCAAATAAATAAGTTGTGTACCTTCATCTAAAGTTTTTTTGGTATCCTACTCTCCTAATCTTAAGACCTTGTATGCATCCAAAAGCAACAATTATAACGCATCCTCAGATATTTCACACTCATAGTTGAATCAGTATCACTCACAACACACTCTACACTTACTCTCCACTTTCTTGATACACAGTGTGTCTTCGTTTAACTGTATTAACTCTTCGAACATCTTTCTCATACTTTAGTCTTTTCTGGGTCCCAAATGAACAGTTTTATTGTACTGGTTTTGGGACTACAAAGTTCCTTCTAGTTTACTTGTAAGCCATTTGTTGATAAAAATTCGATTGATGCTTGCCCGCCGTGGCGGTAACGGTACTATCTGCTAACACAGGTTAGATCCTTTTATGGTGTCTGGATGTTGCCTGACTGGTCAGCAATCAATCAATAACTAATAATTACTGTATTATTTCTGTAGTATTTGTAATAGCTATAAATAAAGTTATTATTATGATCATTCTGATACTTGAATTCATTACTCCATTTTAATCATCTACTTTTTTGCTGGTACTGCGGTGACACACCATGATAACATTCTAGTAGCGAAAGGTGCTTATTTTTACAGCACATTGTTGTTCAGCGTTGGCATTATTTTGTACAAAAGTTGGGCTTAAATTAAAACAATAGAAATTTTACTGCAGCAGCGTCCAAAATACTTATTAAGTTAATTTTTGTTTTAGGCGGAGATATGGTCTGTGTTTATCGCGATCCTGCGCAAGAGTGTGCGCAACCTGCAGGCGTGCACCGACGTGGGGTTGATACACCACGTACTGCAGCGGTTGCCGCATGCCGAAACTGTCGTCGCCGGTGAGTACATTGTTATGGTTGTAGAAAACAAAAAGGAGTTGAGTCAACTTTCGTTCTCGTAGTCATTAAGCGCATTTCGGTAGTAAAAGTACTATCCTATTGTTACTTAGAGTAAATCCTACAATACAATCTGAGCAAAATGTTGGGTTGGTAAACGTTTTAAATACAAAGTTCTTTAGTATGATTTTTTTTACACCGTGTCCAACTAACGCTTGGTGACTTTTTGTTTGTAGTTATTGGATTGGCAATGAACCACTACCTTAAAATGTTTTATACTCTTCAGTGCTATTAATTCCTTGGTAAGGGTACGAAATAAACCATGATCTTATTAATGCAATTGTAGTTTTTTATATCTGCCTTCCCTCGGCAACCCCGCATCAATCAATTGCTATGCGTCTTCCTGCCTGAATGGATTTTTTTTTAAATCGCCCCTGCTTCTAGGAACCAACTACATAAAGTTTTACTTCTTTTTCATTTATTTTGCTCTAGTACCTCTGAGAGGATAATAATGTAAGTCTGAGAGAACTTATTGAATATGTAAGGAAAATAACAACTTTTATTTTCTGCTGTCCTAGTGACTATGGGAAAGTAATTAAATCTGTATTGAAACGATTTTTTTACATGAACCATCTTTAGCTCGTGGGATATTGAATTAAGTTCAATATGCGTTCAATACATTGAAAGCAAACAATTCTGGATGCCGTCCGCTACCCTGGTGTCCCTGGGAACAAGTTAAACCTATAGGGAAAAGTTTAACGGCGCTTTAACGACATCCTTTTCAACGCGATTAGGCTCTTTGGTAGGCGTGGGAACTTATCACTTAATATAGGAACTTTAACTCTTAAGTAATCCTGTTAGTCTAGTATCCTTGGGAATATATTAAAACTTTTAGTGAAGGTATAACGTAAATCTCAGCTAGCTTGTTACATAATTTTTACCAGGTGTTTTCAAATCTCCCAAATAAGCGTGGGAATATTAAACGCAGTGAATATTAATACTACATTCTTACTTTCTGTTGCCTTAGTAACTGTGGGAAGAAAATATCTCTTCCAGGCTTTTTTACGTTTAATATTTTATGTGATATTTATTATATACTAGCAATTCTAGTAATTGTTAAAAAAACATCCTTATGTTGTAACGATTTCATTGCACCTTGCTTTTTATTTTGAAATTGTGACTTCCATCTTCTGCAACAGGACTGCAACAATCATTGTTTTGCCCCTGGCCCCTAGTAGTTTCTGATGAATTTGTGATTATGATAAGGAAATTAGCCAAGTCTGTAATGTGTAACGAAAAAAGAAGTAGCACATACGTGTTCAAAACGTTAACTTATAGACGAATAAAATAAATGATGTCGGTACCACATGAAATATGATTGTTAAACTGACGCCAGCGAAAATATTATGGAAATTCAATTTGCCAAGGGTCTCTTAAAAATACCGTTTTTTTTTATTTTTCCGCTCTTTGTTGTCAAGTCCTACTCTCGTGGCAACAACGACGTCATTATAAAATTATCTGCGTCGCCTTACATTTCTGCTGCCCTAGTTATAGTGAGAACCTAGAAAGGGCTACAGACTAACGAGTACGACGGCATATCATTATAAAACATTTCACAATTTTATGATAAAATATGATATATGTATGTACATACGTTACGTATCGTAACGCCTGCCTCCCACCGGGCTAAGGAGAGACCATGGACCTCCTGCTACGCTCCTGATGAACCGCTTTCGCTTTCTCCACTCCTATCAGTCTATGTATATTTAAAGGCAACGAACAAACTCAAATGTGTAAATATTTAAAGGCAAAAAACAACTCGCATCCATTGTAAGAAAACGAAAATTTAAAAATGGTTTCATACAAAAGCTCTATGCCGCCCTAGACCCAATATTTGGGAAAAAAGCATAAAAGAAACATTTCTTAGACGTAACATTACGCAACAGTCTCACTACCTCATTTCCCCTGTTGCCCTAGTAAAGGTGTGAAATAGAAATCCGTGCGATGCAATCTCGTCCTTGCATCTTTTACCTGCCTCCCTTTCTATTAAAATGCGACCCCGCCCTATCCCTAAAAAGAAAAGAACGCGTAACAAACAACCCCTCTTCGCCTTAGGGATTTGTTGACTTCAATTAGTTGCTGGTTCCCTGGTACCGCTGGGAACATTAAGAACTTTGTAAGAAAAGCAATGTCTTGAATATCTCCTTGGTTTATATTGTCTTGGTGTTCTCGTTAAGTTTGTTAACCCCTTTTTGAAACGATTTTCTACAAAGTATTTATTTGGCACTGGTTTCAAGCGGAGCTTAGTGTGGTGTTCAATACAGTTGCTCAAAACGTGGTATTTTTTTCATACTACAAATCGTGTCGAAAGTTGGATTTTTCGCACTAGTTGCTTTTTACTTTTCCATTTTTTTAAATTTACTGTTGTTTCAAGTCTTAAACATAGAACTGAAGAAGTTGTATATTTATATAATATTTATGTGCTTTGTGACGCAAGTCAGTCATCATTAAAACTTATATTTACTTACAAAGGTCTTGTTTGTTTAAATTGCATAGGTGTTTTATAAAACAACGGGTTACACTTAAAAATGCCAAAATATTTTTCATAAAGATGGCTGGTTGAGTATTAACAATAACCGGAGGTGAGAATTACGCGAGACCGCTGCGCGTCGCGCCACTAAAATAGTAATTTTAATGTGGCTGAATATTGGCATTGGCAACAGGTGCCATTGTACTCTTAATTTTTATCAGACAAAGAAATAAAATGAGTTTTTTTAAAATACTGTTTTAATTTATTTTCAATGTAGTTTTTTCTCAAATGTGTTAAAAACGTCGTTTGATACATCTGCGGATTTGTCATTTTCACTTGTCTCGAGTCTTGACTCTCGCCTGTGCGGAAAGTTAGTCATTATTCACGAGTCTCGAGGCTTCTTGGTCTGAGCCAGAAGCGAGGGTCAAGACTCGAGACAAGTGAAAATGACAAATCCGCACATGTATCAAACGATGTTTTTTATCATTGTTAATACTCAGTCAGCCATCTTTATGGAAAATATTTTGGTATTTTTAAATGTAACCCGTGTTTTATAAAACACCTATGCAATTTATACAAATAAGATGTTTGTAAGTGAATATAAGTTTTAAGACGAATTACTTACGTCACAAAGCACATAAATATGAAATAAATATACAACCTCTTTAGTTTATGTTTAAGACTTGAAACAACAGTAAATTAAAAGAAATGGAAAAGTAAAAAGCACTAGTGCGAAAAATCCAACTTTCGGCACGATTTGTAGTACGAAAAATACCACGTTTTGAGCAACTGTATTAAAAAAGAATTTGCCATCGTCGTCGTCCTCAGAAATGGGTTCGATAACTTTAAGTACTTCTTCAATGGACTGACATCGTGATCCTCCTGGAGGCGTCAAGAAAAGCTGACGTAATATTTTCGTTTACTTGTTTGTAGGTGACAGCGTGTCAGAAATTAACTTTGGTGCTCTGCACCACACCTACTCATACAGGAATTGAAGGAATTCTGTTATGAGTAAGAAGATGGAAAAGTGACCCTAATAATAAATAACAATAATGTCCTTCTTTAAATTTTTACTGAGGAAATTAAATAATTTCATAAATCTGTTGAGTATACAAGTATTAATCTACGTGTAGGCATTTCTTCATTTTAGTAATGATCGACGCCTGCTAGAATAAACAAATAAATAAAATGCATTGTAGGCGGGGCAAGTAAGGAACAAGTATGGATGGTGATTTTATACCTGAGACTTTTGTAGAACCATGTTGTTTTTTTTTGTCCTGTGGCTTTGGTCGTGTGGCCTCTCAACATCTTCTGAGTTCCTGGTGTTATATCGATATTTATTTACATATTTTGATTCAATTAACTTTATGGAGTTCTTAGGTTTTCGCGATAGTTTGTTTACTACACATTTAAAATTTAATTCTTTCTTCGGATCAAAAGTTGGAAAAGAAAGAAGTCAGCAGTCACCGGGACCTGTTAAGGGCCCGAAACGTTGGTTTGTTAAAAAAAAACAAATACTCGCGATTTAGATCCAAAAAATAGTTTCATTTTCCAATTAAGTTTATTAGTAAACTGAAGTATTACTTTGTTTATGTTATCTTGGTGTACAAGTGTGTGTTTAACTGTTCCATTGAGACTTGGAGAATTTTACAAAAACAGTGATTAACTTGGTTACTTAGTTCCTTTGGCGACAAAGGTGGCGTATGGTGATCCTGTAGATTATTTGGTACCCTGGTTAACCATCTAAATATCTGTCACATTTTATTTTGTGTTAAGGTTTTTTTTACAATGCTTGTTGAGAAATTTATTAAAATTGTGTTCAAAACTTGTTACAGACTAGACCGCCAGTATACTATTTATATTCTCATTTCCTGTAGTCTTCTGCTCTCCTAGTTTTACTGAACTGTATGCACCAAATTTGGTTATTATGAGATTGGTATGTGTGTACTGGGCACTACTCGCGTCGCTTCTTTAAACGTTTCTTAACTTCCAAACAGCTTCTGCACTCGTTGATATTTTGCCGTACAGTACATAATAAATAAATAAAGATCGAGAATTATGGTTTACGGAGAAACCCCTGAGCAGCCTTAATATTTATTTTATTACCACAGCGTTGTTTCCTAGCCGTGCGGGTAATTAATATAACATTTGATTACCCTTAACTGCTCTAGAAACGCTATTATTATTATTCGCAGCAGCACATTAGAATTTTCTCTTTGCTTTGGTTTAATATCAAACAGCTAACCTTTCATTCGTCCATAACGCAATAACTATTTATCAAAAAATAAATTCCCCATTCTTTTAAAAATAATATTTTTCTTTAAAAAGCAAATTTAATTCTGTTTACTGAGAGGGAAATGAAAAACAAACGAAGACAAAAAACACTCCACTTTTAAAAAGTGGACCATAAAATAAATAACTGCATGCATATTACCGAAAATCGTGCGCACTATTTTTTATGCGCATGAATTTC